CTGCTCTGTTTGTTCTGCAAATAACAGAAGCAGAGAACCTGTGGTACATTTATACTTTTATATCCATTTATACAGAGTTACTTCAGGCTCAAGTAGCACCTGTCAAATGTTGATACCAGAAACACTCTTTAAAACACTTTCAGTGACATTTAACATCACCAATATTCAAGGTGGGAATGTAGAATAAAGTCGTAAATGTCAGCTCATGGCAGCTCCTACTGCCATTGAGAGGGAAAGTCATTCCGACCTTATGTGAAAGGTATTTCAAAATATTCCATCTTAGTCCTCCACAGAGAATAGGAGGAAAACATTCAGACTTGTGAAAATGCGATAGCAAAAATCGTGCACAGACCAAATAGCTTGGTGGAATTGTTGCATCTGGGATCACCATCTGCAAGCAGTAAACCACTTCTTTCATCAGCCTTCCCTCCCTCCCTCCATCCTTCCTTCCTTCCTGCCTTCCTGCCTTCCTCCCTCCCTCCCTCCCTCTAGACAGTCATGCCTGGCATGATCTGCTGTCACTGGTAGTAGGTAGTAGTAGGACTACTACTGGAGTATTCCTGCTTTGAGCAGAAGATTGGACTGCATGATCTCAGATGTCCCTTCCTTTCAGTTCTTCTATGGATCTATCGATAAATCTGAAATCTGCTCGCTAAAATAATTTCCAATCTTCCGTTCTTTTCTTTAATCACTTACTTTTCTTGTAACATACAAACACGGTCTGACTTGTAAAATTCTCCCATAGAGGCTGTCACTGGTTTGTGGCTAGAATCACTGGTCTTTATCTTTGGAAATAATTCGTTTCTCCACTTCTCCGACAGATGAAACCCTGGAATTTAATTGTCAAGCACTGAACACTAAGCAAGAAAGGGTGAATGAACTAAACTTCCTCCTAGAAGAGGTTTCCTACGAAAACTGGTGCATTTTTTTGTTTCTCAGATCATGATGGAAAAAGCAGAGAACAGTTTACAGATTACAGGGCAATAACACGGGACAATTATTGTCCTTCATTTGCTCTTATTTTCTGAAAAACAGGACTTTATATTATGATCCATAGAATTTGTCATAAATTATCTTTGATGCAGAAGCAGATGTCATCTTTTTCTAAATTTTTCATCTATGGACATAAAATTGTGAGGAGAGAGTAATAATGCCCTAGTATCTCGTTGAGTGTCACCAGTGATAGGATAAGAGGCAACAGGCACAAAATGAAACACAAGAATTTCCATCTGAATATGAGGGAAAACTTCTTTACTGTGAGAGTGACAGCAGCGCACTGGAACATGTTGCCCAGAGAGGTTGTGGAGTCTCCTTCTCTGGTGACATTCAAAATTTGCTAGATGCAAAGTTTGATCCAGGATGTTGGACTAGATGATCGCTAGATGTCCCTTTTAACTCAACCATTCTGTGATTCTATAATTTATTAGCAATTGTGGTTGATATCTAATACACAGTAAGGATTCAAGCTTGCTCCTTTGTTACTAGCTGGGTCTGTTAAGAGTGCAGAATGCATGATAATAGGACTTTATGGAAATTCAGCTATCTCAGGATTGCTCCTGTTAAGAGTCTGATTTGCATTTTTTTTCTGCGTTGGTTACTTGAATGCATGATAGAATATGAAGAACCTAACTAGGCTAGAAAAGTAATCACAGTAAATGTTTTTAAGAGACAATGTAAATATAAAATCCAGAGAACTATCATTATGAAACAAGAACATGTTGTATGGATCAGGTTTTGCAGGCGTAAGACTAGAGACAATTCTCTGTACCTACATGAGTTTTATCATAACACCTACAGCAAGAACTATTTTCCCACTGTCCAAAATAGCTCATTCCAGCTATATGAAAATATGATTCCTTCTCCAAAGTTTAGTTTTCTCTAAAGATTTATTTTTTTTTAAAGAAACATCATAGTCTTCTATTTCCTTCTGAAAACACAAAAATTAGCCCATAATATTTATTCTTAGATGTAAGGAAACAAACAAGACATTCCATATATTTTGTTTTTATTTTCAGCAAAATAAATCTCTTTTCAAGCAGCTAGATCAAAGTATTAATCCATAACACATTACCTTAAACTCAGAAGTTGCTTCAGTGGCTTCAATTTGAGATCAATAATTTCAATGAGGGGAAGAATGTCTATCTTGAAATTATTGCAATATCATTGGGAGCGACAGGAAAGAAATCTCACAACAGCAGAGAAGATGCAGATTGTTTCTGAATCATCTTAGGATATAGCAACATCACAGAATGCTTCACGCTGCTACAAATCCTGAGGCAATCCATACCTGCAGCACAGTAGCTGAACTGCTTTTCTTTTATGTGACTGCAGTGATTGCGGTTTTCCAGTCTGAAACAGATCTTCTTGAATGAGGTCAAGTGTTTCCTGGTGCATCTTATAACTTTGTCATCTGAGGTTCACATGTGTAGAGCAAGTATCCTTGGTATATGCTATAAAGTAGCAGGTATTCTACATTTACATAGAACAATTCATATTTCCAGCACCTGACACACCCACTCTATCTGCTGATTTTTCTGACCCCAAGTTTTCTTTTATAGTTGCTAATCTTCCAAATAAAATAAATTATGTTAAAGACGGACTGCACTGCTCATCATCAACAAAAAATGTTAGGCAAAGTAGACTGGGGAAGTGTCTATTAGTGGTAAAAGATTCTACCCTCTTTTGGGTCTTTTCCAGGATTTTTTTAATGCACAGGTCACTTCAGCAAGCTGGAAGCCAAATACAAGAGCAATTGGTCAGTTCTGAAATAGAACAGAATTACTGTACATTGATTATTAAGTCAACATGAACAAAGATGACCAACACTTTTCCATCAGATTTATATTATGCAACATATAAATAAGTAAAAAAAGAAGTAAATAAATTATACAAATTCTGTGAAAATACATTCTATGCAAGGAATTTGAAAGCTGAGTATTACAGAATGTAATTTAAAAATACCTGATACATTAAAAAAAAAGTGTAAGGCAGATCTAAAAGGCCTGGTAATGTTAAATGTGTTCTGTTCTGCCTTCTGTAATATCAACATGTTTGTTATTCTAAGATTTATTATTGCTTACAGCATGGAAAAAGAGCACAAATGTATTCTCAGGACCAGGCCTTACACAGCTTATACTTCCAAATAGTTTATTATTGTTATTATTATTATTGCTACTGGTCTCTTGTGTAGAAATGGACATATGCAGTTTCATCTTAGCTGTATTTCTGTTGATATTCAAGGCAGTGGAAATACTGCTATTGTGGGAGGAGTCATCAGTTTTCTGCTTCCTACTGTTTCCCATTCATAAAGAAAGAAAATGCAAATCACAGTTCTGGTATATGTATCAAGTCACATTTTTCTCTTCTGCAGAGACCATCAGTGCCAAACGCTTAATGTGGTGGTTACAATACTTAATTCACACAGATCAAGCAATACTTTAAATTCAACAGAATGTGTCAACTCAGAAATTTATAGCTGAGCTCAAGAGAGACAGTCTTCTGTCAGTTTTCCATCGAAGCATAATTATCTATTCAAGTAAGAGAAAAAAAGGACATTTAATAAACTCATGTAATTTAAACATTGTGATTTTGATTATAATATCCAGTCTCCTGAAAGAGAGGAGAGGCAGATGTTTGCAGTGACATTTCAGTACAGTTAGAAATCCACAGGATTCAGGTTCTTCATTGTCTGGTTTTGCTTATCATGATGTATTTGTCTTAAAGTCCAGTGTCAGTAATAATAGTGTCAAGTCTTCAAAAATGAAATTTCTGTCACTAGTCCTGTTGGAAAAGGAAATGTCAAGACCATGTGTTTCTTTTTACTTGCTTCTGCTACTGGCATGAAATTCCAAGGTCCTGAAAATATGAAAAATCCTGAAATAGCAGTCCATTTCTCTGACTTCTTTTTTTTTTTAATGATGCCGTCAGCCAATGATAAAATGAGAGACTGAAACAGCATCAGATCTAGAGGCAGTTTCTCAGATGGCTTAATCACTATGCCTCAGGAGTGCATTGAATTGTTTTGGGGTTTGAGAGAGAGTCTACCAGTTTCTAAACTGCTCTTTTTCATTTATCCAGCATTTGTTCTCCATTTCATTCCCTGTTATGTTATTGCTCACTATACAACCTTGATGCCTCAGTAGTAAGTTAGAGTTACCATTCTGCAGAAAATAGTGAACTGGAGCTCACTGGGAAGACTAATAAAGGCCATACCAGTAAAAGTCACCTAACCAGGTCATATATCTTCTCATTAGGAAAAGGTTCCTGCTTTAGAACCTTTAAGATCATCCTAGAAATAGCAATCAATCACTTTTATAAAAAAAGATATGCAGTCACATGGGAAAACAAAAACTAAAATAAAACAGAAAAAAAAAACAAAACAGTCCTGCTAAGACAACAATGTAGACAGTGCAGCTAATAGATTTTGCCTTTTTTCAGAGGGCAACATCTAGCAGGCCCTGGAAACTAGATAAATGTTTACAGTCCTTTTAGTCGTCACATCATCAGCAACTACTTTCCTGAGTTTAGAGAATTTTTTTTTCAAGTCTCTATCAAAACATTAAACAGAACTCCAGTCATCTCTCCTTATTCTGAGAGCACTGATTCTATGAGCCTGAAGGAAGATAATATGCCATGTATAGCAGTCTGGGAGAAGACTTACTGAACATCTCTTTGTAAATTGATGAAATCCCAGTTCTGGTTCCTTTTGTTCATTTTGTTACAGCATTACAGAGCATCACAAACCACCACAGGCTTTATCTCAGTAAACCCACCAACCTAATGCAAGTATCAGTGCAACAACTGAGATACCTGGAAGGTAGAAGAAAGAGGACTGGATTCATATATAATGGCATAGACGCCATCAACCATTCTTGATGCACCAAGCAGGGCTCTTCCAGGCTGGCAAATGTGTGTGGCATGCTGTACCATGCTTGAACATTTGGAGCAGACAACTGTTGTGGCAAAAGCAATCCAAATTCTGGAGTAAGGAAGAAGGCTTCTTAGACGTCATAGACCTCTTCTTCCATGGCATGATTGACCTCCCCATGAAGTTGGTGGAAAGTATTCTGCCTCAGGATCTCCCAGCCACGGTGAGAACTAGTCCTGGATGTATTGCGTGACAGTGATAGAGCAGGTAGTTCTTTTTTGTACAGGATGTTCCTATCAACTTCTATCTTTTCCAAACTTTTGTCACAATTTTCCTTGTCCTGAACCTTAAATGCTTCTGTGTACCGCATCATCTTGTGTTTGTTAGGATCAACTCGGTCTTCTACTCTATAGGAGAATTACAAAAACATAAACTGAATGAATTAGGAACGTTCCAGTTTATCAACAATGATGATCAGCCTCAAGAAGCAATTGGGAGAGGACTGCCAGCAAACCCAGACATTCTAGAATCATCAACACAAGAACAGGAAAATGATTTTAAGAACGATCCTTTTAGTTTTCTTTCCTTAATACATGCTCTTATGCAAGTGGCCCTGCCTTCTCAGCTGTTATCACAGAGTAATCCCCTTGGCTTCATCCCTGTTATTGACTTCACTATCTTCACAGTTTCCTTGGTTTTATATCCCTTTAAATAATTTCCTAGTCACAATTTGCCCTTTCCATTTTGCCAGCTGCCAAATATTAGTAGATAATAGAATCCACCCACTGGAGACCCAGTCCATTTGGCTCCATGTCCAGATCGATTTCCTTTTTCTGTGCATATATTTATTTTCATCTATTTCCTTTTTTGTTGTCTTTCTTTCTCTGCTGCTTCATGATTTTAAGCCTCAGGATGCAACATCTTTCAGCAAGATTTGATTTATCTTCTCCACATCCACCATCCCATCTCTGCATTGCTCATATCTTACCTTGTGAAATACTGTCCCACACTAAATATAGTGAACCTACATGTGATTTGACAGAGCTAGAAGACATCACAACTCTCTATTCCTATCATCAAATTCAGAATCGGTGCTGGAAGTTGCACTTGCAGAGTTATATTCCACATCTCAGACTGAATGTGTTGCATTTTACTAAATTTTAAATCTACTTGTTTTGCCCAGAAAACTTGCAAGAACTTCTTTCAAAAAAAAGAATTCAAGCCTCATTTCTCTACTAAAGCCTGCAAGAAGTCCTACTTCATAGAACAATCACTCCCCCTTAGAGTTTTATCAGCAAAATATGAAGCAGTGAGAAAAGTCATATTCCCAAACAAGACATTCTTTTCTCATCCTAACATAAATGTTGATGAAAATGAGAAATAGTGAGGAATCTCATGCTATCTAGCAGATTATTTGTTTATTGTTTCAGGAAAGTCTAGTGTAAGACTTACAACCTGATGCAGTCTTTGCATAGCATAGTAGAGTTACCTGTGTCACTGTTTTTGAATTATTTCAAGGCGATTTGCTGCTGACAGCCTTACTGATTGCTTTCAGCCTTAACCGTTCTGTGATTCTCTAATTCTGCCTCTGCCATTCCACAGATACAATGCATAGGTACATCCAACCAACTATATAGGTGTGAAGAAGCTTTGTGATACTCACTATAAGGAGATTGAAAGAAAAATTCAGGCCTTATAACCTATGTAGCTGCTGGAATCTGTCTCCTGGGACTACTAGATAAGAAAGCATTAACTGATTTGGCAAGGACCTGCTTTGGGAGGGGAACAGCGCTTGTCCACCATGAACATAAACCAGGCAGGGATCTGTGTTCTAGAAAGGATGCACACCAAACACTCCTTTCCTGGCCACTGAAATGACTCCTTGTTCACATCCATACACTGAATGATTCTTTTGAGAAACATTCATACACACATCAAAAGAGAAGTCACCTGAGATACCATCGGTCTCCTAGCCCATATTCCCGACCGCAGATTCCAGAGCGAGGCCAGAGACATCGTGGCAGTTTCCGCTCCAGCATAACAGTAGTAGCGACAACCTTTACAATAAAAAACAAGGGAGGAGTTCAGATGAATGTGAAAAAAAAACTCTCTTAAAAATTATTGGTTTTGCTAATACTGATAGATCCATAGGTACTGAGAGAAAATACCTTGTTTATTATGTGACAATTCATTATTTTGCTCCTAGCTGTACCACATCTTGAAGAAACAGTGGTACTCTTAAAACATTTTATACCTTATATATATATATATCCTTTTATACTTTGTGTTTAGGTGTTGTAATCAATTTCCAAGCTAGAGAAAGGACACCACTTACATCAATATCACAGTCTTGGCAAATCGAGAGTCTATTTACCATCATACAAAATTATTTTGTATTTCTATAGTCTAAAAAACTATTGTTTTTTCTCTCTCTCTCAAAAAAAAAGTATTGGGAAGTGTATATCCTGCTGAGCAGCTAGATAACTAGTCTTGTTCAATCATGCAAAAAGCAGTGCAAGCTTTCTGATCAAGAGAGACAGACCTACTTCCTCTAATGAATCTAAAGACACAATTGACCTGTTTGAAACAATTTCTCTGCATTTTTATTTCTTTTATTTCTTTGGAGTCAATCTCTGTAATTATTATTTAACTATCAATTACAGAGAAATGTGATGTGTAAGACAGGGTCAGCTTTAATTCTTTTTTCAAGAGATTCTCTGAGTCAAGAAACATACAGCTATGGAAACACAGAAAGGCTGGAGACATTTCTAGCTGCTATTTGAAATAAAACAGGTATACAGGTAAAACAAATTTATTTTGGAAGGCAGTTTTAGGTAGGAAAAGCTGCAGAGGAGCAGTCTTGCCATTTATACTATAAACTTATACAGTTTAGATGATTGTATAAGTCAAAAAGATTTGAGGTCAAATGCACAGAATTACAAGGACATAGCTTACTGCATTAGCCCATGTGAAAAGACCTGACAAGGGTTTTTAAGTATGTCCTGTAGTGCAGGGAGGGTGAAGCGAAAAAATGGCCAGACATTTCCCTTAGTCAACTTTTTCTTCTTTATTCAGAAAAAAAATCCATACCATGTAACCTAAGTTACCTGGGCTCTCCAGAGCTCATCCCGTTCATGGGCCACTCTCCAGTGTGTGTCTCCCATCATGGCAATAAGCAAGTTGAGCATAAGAAGGGTAGCAATGACGGCAAAGGCAAAGTATGCAACGCTGTACATAAAGGGCAGGTCCACATCATAGTTTGCAGGGCCATCAATGATAGTGAGGAACAACTCAAAGGTGGTGAACAAGGACATGGGATAGTTATAGAACTGGCCAAGGTTTTGAGGGTTCTCAGTCTGGAAAATGATGTAAAAAGCTAGAGGAGAACAATGAGGAAAAAAGGTAAAAATAGTTTAATGGTGTGAATCATGTTCCAAGAGCAGCAACTAAATCCTATTAGAGATGCTGACAACACAAGCCGGCCAGGGAAGGTACTGCACATCATATTTAGTGTAGTACTCAGTAACAAGACCAGATCCCAGACTATGGTCACTGGTCAGCATTATAAAACAACTCTTTTTTTGAGACTTGGGTTAGCTGTATGTGCTCAAAAGAAAACCAACAAAAAAGAAATCTTCTTCAAAGGTAGAAGACGTTAAATGCCATTTTTCAAAGATAAGCATAATAAATGCAGTATCTTTTTAAGTCTTGACTTACATATATTGACAGTGCATTGCCCACATTTTTATTATCCTGGAAAGCGCAAGGGTTAATAACCAAAGCTATCAGAACAGAAATCAATGCTGGGAAAGACACCATGCTGAGCAAAATAGAAATTATATATCATCACTCCTTTTACCAGCTGAGAGGACAACCTGAAAGTACACCAAACTCTGCACTTGATTCAAACAAGGAGAGTTCGCAGGGATAACATAACCCAGTTTTCCTTTTGTAGACTCACCTGATGCAAAGCCCAGTATCACCACAGCCATGAGCCAGCAGAAGCGCATAAGATCACCAAATATCATCTGTAAAGCAAAAACAGCACTGCTGTAAGGTCCAACTGTCCCACCAAGCCATCATGCAACCACATGTAAACCATTTTCCAGATTCTAAGGTCATAAGTGTGTGAAAGGAAGCTTTTGCATTTTATGGATGATTCCATTTCTCTTACAAGAGAAAGAAAGTCCCAAACTCTTCATGCAGACAAGAACTTGAACCTTTGCCATTAATTCAAATCCTGAGACAGAAAGAGTATTCTCAGAATTCTCTCTATCTGGAAAGTGGTGTCAGGATGTGTGTAACAAGCCCATGTTTGTTTCTTATACCTTTTGGATCATGATGGTAAAGGGTCCCAGCATCTGGAAGCCTCGTGCAAAGTACATGACATTGCACCATCCTAACACCAGGGCAAAGGACATGGGCACCACCTCACCAGTCATGCTGGTGAGACGCATCACCATGGTTATCAGAATCATGCAAGCATATGTGATACTGCAAATGAAAAAGAGACAGTGAATAAAGTTCAGTAAAGGAATCTTACCCTACTTTTTCTTTTCTTTCTAAAAATTTCAAGAAAGGCACACAGAGACATCAATCCCATAGGCAGAGGAGAGTTACTTAGGACTTATCAAGGTTAGGTGCTCAACTCTACCTGTCCACTTGTCCGGCTTTTTTCACACCATTTGAGTCAGTAAGGAAAAGAAATCAAGAAAAGGCATATTCAAAAAAAGAAAAGAGAAGGTGATTCATCTAGCAAAAGATAGCAAAGGGAATTATGAGAGACAGTGCATTTTTAGATTTAACAGATGATATACTTACATAATGATGTGGAAAGGACCTCCTAGAATGGTTTGTCCGAAGTATTTTGCTGCTCCAACTCTAAGGATATCTGGGATCTAAGAGAGAGACTCTATTTACTTTAGGACTCAGACAGAATTCATTACAATATTAATTATACTGGTAACCCCTAATAGTCGCATGGTCTTGGAGCAAGCCACATCTGCTTTGTTTGCTTGTTCACAGTTTTTGTATTATGTTACTTTGAAAACAAAGGGATTGCGTCTTTTTTGGCCACTGTGGATGGATACATGGGCAGAGCGCGAGCTGTTTACCAGTCCTGTGTTCTTTCACATCTCTTTGTCATTAGAGTTTTCCCTTTTAAAGAGTTCGATCTTATAGTCCATATTTTAATAAATATCAAGTATGTGTATGTGTGTTTTAATAGAAAGAGCTCCTGCTCATTTTGCAGAAGAGTTTGTAATAAAGTGGTAAAGTGAACACCTAGATAGGTCCATGTCAGAATTCTGAATGAGGCTCCTGTCATAGCTCCATATAGTTCCTGATCTCCAGCTAAAGATAAATTTTCGATAGTTCATACAGAGATCACAACTAAACACCCCTGAATAGATGAATACAGAAATTCTCTAAGAATCTATTGATTTGTAATGAGACCAGTTGGCATCTGGAATCTTTCAGGTTAACTGTCACAATCTCTATTTCATTTCAAAGATGATGTTGCCAGTGCCAGTTGCCATGGCATATATTTTGAAACACTAAGACTCAGAAGATAACCCCTATCAAGTCCCAAACACAAAGTAATATTTGTCCAGTAAGTCAAACCTGATGAATAAATTCAAGACTGTACAGGTCGCTATTTCTCTTACCTCAAAAATCAAAATTACTACAGCACCTATGACTGTGACCAGTTCGCCCACCAGCCTCAGCTCATCCTCATATGTCAAATATGACTCCTAAAATAAAAAAAAAAAAAAAAAGAGAGAGAGAAAGAGTCAGAGGAAATGACCTCAGCAAGAAAGTCTGCTGTTAGTGTAAAAAATGTGCCAAGGACTGAAGAGGCTACAGAAACAAACTCAGCCTGAGCACAGAGAACAGTAGAGAACAGTGTATACCCAGTGTTTCTCACTGACCAAGGCAGGGAGAGAAAAGTTGGACAGCCATAACTGGGAGCTGAAAAGTTTTCTGACTTTCCAGTTGAGTAGTTTAGATTAGAATTACCAAGTTCTGCACAGTGGGCTCTGAGTCCTACAGACACAGTACCTGCAGCATTTTCTGGATATAGATAGTATTGTCTCTACTGCTTGTTTTGTTGTCTGTTCGGGGTTTCAGTGGTCGGTAGACGCAGCACATAGTGAAGCAGACCATGTAGAGCACATAGAATAAAGCCAGGAAACAGAAATAAGGCCGTCCATACATATTCCACTTCAAGCTCACCAGTTCCTTCACAGGTGTTAGGTCTAAGATCTGTCGGGCCTGAAGAAGATAGAAAAAGAAATAAAAAAGCTATTTGCCATAAGAGAATTTGTCTATAAGCATCATTCATGCTGTTCCCTGGGACAACATCATAAAATTATTCTTGCCTATACTATTCAGCATTAAGTATCTGAATTTGTTATGCAAAAATGAGAATGCTCAGGTCAGTTTGGATTAGCTTAGGTTACCAGTAAAGAACATAAGGAAAAAGTAAGAAAGATACACGCTGCAAAAATGGCTTTTGAGTACAGGTAAGAAGCACAAGAGAAGCATGTTAGATATTGGAATAGGTTTATTTTCTCTGTAGGCCTGTATGCATATAAACATTCTAGCTGTGATTTAGGTACATTGATGCTAATCTATGAGGCTGCATTGCAGGAAAGAAAAGATATCTTTTAAAACAGCTTTTATGAATTGTCTCATTTTTACAGGGCTATATACAAAAAATATGACAGGTATATAGTAGGGGTTGACTTGCAGTGTCAGGAAGTTTATAAACCCTGTGAACTTTAGGGATTCCAGTATGTATAAAACTATTCCACTTCATGAATAATCTTTTACTGTAATTGGAATCCATTTTGGAGAATATTCTATGTTAAGCAAGCCAGCACAATGTACTTTATAGCTGACAGGTTCTCTGGTCTGTGCAAAATATACACCATTATTAAAACAGAGTTGAAAATAAGATCATTTGAATTCTATTTCAGTTGCAGGACAAACCTGCTGAGCAACCTTATGGAATTTGCTTTCCTTTTTGAATTTGCTTTCCTTTTTTAAAATTTCTTTTAAAATTAAAAATCTGAAATTATACATCTAAATTAACACAGAGTTCAGCAGTTCTTCCTATCAAATTTAATAACAATTGTGGAAATTCTTCATTTCTTGGGAACATATAAAAAGGTCCCTTACATTATTAGCCCTCTTTGAAAAAATGGTTCTGATATTACCTCAGCTTAACAGGCAACTAAGAGATTTTGGAAAAATTTTCAGAGCAACTTATTTTCAATCTGAAGGCAGCATCTTAATAGTATAGCTTGGATTTTCACCATCTCTGACAATTATAAAAAAAAACAGTATACCCAGCGAGCCGTACTGTGAGAAGATGAGTCTTCCTATAAATTATTTATATCAAATTTGAAGTTTTGGTCCTTCTCTTTAAGATATTAGTCCAGCTCAAGTGTATCTGTCTAAACCACACACATTTCCAGGAATAAACAGAAGCTTCAGCAAGACTCTAGTGTGCTATGGAAAATAGCACTACTGCGTACATTAAGGTTGTGCTTCTGCCAAAGTGCATATATGCATAAGCACTTCAGATACATATGTGTATCTGAAGAAATACAAACAAACAAATAGGTTCATCAGAAAAGTCAAAACCATAGTTTTAGAAGTGACAGAAAGGGTCATTAAAAAGTAAGATTAGTGGAGTTGTGAGTAATGGAGGGAAAAAATTCTCTCCCATCATATATTTCCTTTTTTAAAAGGAAATATATTATATCTTAATTGTCCTCATGGTTAAATGGGTTAATTTCCACATATGTCCATAAATGACAAAAAAAAAAAAAAAAAGCCATGGAGATGTTTAGGAAACAATAATTCAACTTGTTTTTTTTTTGTGAATCTATCAATTTGGAGCTAGAATGATTCTGATGAAAACTCTAAGACATGGAAACATCAACACCATTCTGCTCTTTTTAATTGTGTTTCCTAGGGCAAGATGAAATTGTGGCTACATTGGTAAGGCATTATCATTCTTCACAGGAACAGTATGCAAAAATATTTTTTAAATAAAACATGTCACTGTAACAACATAAAGACCTGATATTTAGAGAACAGTTTTTCTGTTTTAAGGAAAAATCTAATCTGTATGGGTTTTGAGGAAGTACTGATCAATGTGATCTTATGTTTGGAGAGATAACTAATTACGCATGTATGCAAGTCATGTAAAAAATGTACATTTTGGCCTGGATTGTCCCTTGGAATTATAATATACAGGATTAAACTTAATGCAATTATTCTTAGTTTATTCTATGTTTAAAAAATACAGCTTCTGTTTCAAGACCAGAATTTCAGCATGTATGCTCAAAAGCTTGTTTGATTATTTACATTTCTATCTACTTGTGTAACAAAGGTCACTACTTCTTCCTACTTCTTGTCCTTCATATGTGTCCTTAGATCATCATTACTATAAACACAACAGTCACAGAACATTATGCAATTAATTGAGGTACCCAAATTAGTTATGTGGTTATCCTAAGCTTTCCTCTTTGCAAGTAATAGGGTCCTACAGATGATCATTCAGATCATCTGATCATCAGTCTGTCTGCAGTTCCCCACAAACAATATGTGAAACTAAGGGTATCTCTACCCTCAGTGTGCCTGTGGCCCTTTGTTTGGCTTCCCTGTGTGTGAATGCGGATCCCATTAATTTAAGTAGCATATGTAAATATTCAAGGTCCAGAAACAAGTTAGTCGCTGGCATGTTTATGAAGGATCAAAGATTGCTTTGTAGGTCAAGGATCTAAGTCTACTTAGTGGATGGAACCCGTTGGATTCAGCTACTTTAGAATTATCAGGGTTATTTCATTTGCAGGTCTTTACCTATAAAAAAGGGAAGAATTTATTTGGCTCTTTTAATAAAACATGTGCAAAGTTCACAAGAACAATAAGCTACTCTTCTGAGAATCTTGGCTAAAGTTGCCTGGTAAGCACCAAAATGTCAGTGAGGCCTTTTCTGTAAGAGGTCTTTTCTGTGATAGGAAGACAAACAGCTCCAATTCATTGAAGATTAGCCTGAGTTCTGATAACTTCTTGAGGAAAAAAGTTGCTGATAATAGCAACAACCATTTCTTTGATAAGCATTTGAAATATTTTTGTTGTGTGTGGGAATACAGAATTAAGGATGACAGGATATTCCTATCAGTACAGAAATACAGGAGACTTTTGTATCAGATGCTTAGATGCTTTAAGATAAGAAAATTGTTATTTTTTCCTAAATGTAATTAATACTCAACTAAAGTTTGAAGGCTAAAATAAAGATGTGACATTTTAAGCTTCCATATTATTTTTGGAGTGACATTTAATTGAGTAATCTATAGCCTTCAGTCTCCTAGAAGACTGACCCTTAGAGCTCATAAGTGACCCAGAGGATTCACTTCACACCTTGCATCTGAGTTTGACCCATACACTTAATTAAATTCTTCTAGATTTATTTCCTAGTGCACTGCTTAGAGGAAAATTGCAAGGATGAGTCAAAGCGGCACGAGGAGGTTACTTTAAATAAAAACTTACTGCTCCCTAGATGTTCTCCCTTCTTTCACTGTTATGCCCTGTTTCCCTTAAGTAGTCAATGACAGACTGAACACTTTATAAGGAATATGTATATTTCCACAAATGGGCATGACTAAGAGAACTATTGAATGGCTAAGAAATATTCAGAAGGATCAGAAGAAATTGAGAAGGAATGAATCTAGCTAGAGTAGGGTAGCCTTAGATGTTCACATTTCATTTTCAAAAGAGTGAAAATAAGTTTGGAAGCTTACTGGAGTCTTCGTGTAGCTTAGCTACCTTTTGCATTTTTTGTGGAGTTAAGTAGTAAAGGGTCAGAAACTATGCCTTAGTACCTATCTGTTCTTGCATCATCTAAAGGGGATGAAAGGGGAGTCTGCTTCTGATTGGTGCCTAAAGACACTACTCTAGTTAAGCATGCAAAAAAACCGTAATTATTCTATTTTAACGGTGTTCTGGAAAATAAAGAAGTCATCATATCTTACAGTATTTGGGGACTCCCTAGCCTTTGAAATTAGAAATCTTGGTTTTGCATGAACTATGTGGTTTGGGAAAAGATAAAGGGACAATTTTGTTTCTTTCCTTCAGGACTATGTTTTAGCATTCTGGACTACTTCCAAGGTTGTTCTGTTGCTAGCTAGCTTATAATTTCTGAATGCACTGTCTGCCTCACAGAGATATCATGTTAATCAGCATCACAGCTATAGAAAGTTATTTACTAGAGATATGCAAAAACTACTTGTTATTTACATCTTTGAGCTAGCGAGAATGAATCTTTTCCTGAATCACTCAAAGCCATTTCCTGATGCTTTCTAATGTTAAGTTCCTTCAACCATCTGCAAACAGTATCTCTAGAATAGCTGTTAAACCATCAGATTCATCCATATCATAACAGGCTGCTACATTCCATGTATTTCCTCCAGCATGTGGCAAAGTCGATTTTCCACAAAGACCTCTGTCTATATCTGCAGTACCTCTCTCTTCTTGGTTGAGACAATGAGCTCAAGGAAGGACTGATCTTCAGCCCAGGAGTCAATCTCTGTGAGATCATAGAGCACAGTGGTAAAGGGGCCAAAGGACCAGAGATTGTACTTCCGCTTCTGCATGAGGTATTGAAACATCTGAAGAAAAATGAAAGCAGTTGAAGAGATCAGAAACTACCCAGTTTATAATCATTTTCATCGCAACACATTAATATTGTTAAAAATCTTCTTTACAAAATATTTCCGTTGAACTTCTTTGTTATTGTTATAGTTCTCACAAATTTCAGGACCTGCTTCTCTACAATAATGATAAACAGTTCTTCTTCCGCTTACAAAAATCACACTGGATATGCTCAAAATGTATGATAATTTTAAAACCTTCTTAACATATCTGGACTTATCACTTTCAAACAAGGTAATTCACAGAACAATCTTTTTGAGGGGTGTATATGTGTTTTATTCAGGAAGTATTTCAGAAACACATTATCAAGAATACAGGCAGGAACTTTTACTCTGGAGGAGACCACTGATCCATACAGTTTTGTCCATACATCTTTTTCTGGCAGTAGACAACAGTAGTTCAATGGGACCTTAATCACCTGCAATTATACCTTACATCAAGTTAAGCGAAGTATGAGATTTTATATTAAAAAGAGTTCTAGTTTATGCTTTTCTATGTGTCATATGTAGACATCTAGATCATAGAGACAACTTTTTAAATGTTGCTTGGCTGGACTTTTCTGTTTACGCCTATATACCACAAATGTTTCAAAAATAGGGTGAAAAGATACATTCTTTAGGCAATTGTTCCTCTCACTAGGATTAAGAAACTTCTTACACAACTATTCTGGTCTTTTACCCACTAACAGTGTGTTAAAACTCCCAGAATCTGGGTGAGATTACTTGAAGTTGTCCATTTCTGAATACCTTTCCCTATGCAATATCTTTCAGACAGCTGTGTCACACACAAACTCACCACAGTATTGCCCTCAACACCAGCCAGTTTGAATGGAGTAAGCCCCTCATTGTTCGGAATCAATTCAAGTGATCCTGATCCTTGCTTGCTTCTGTCATAGGAAAGTATCAGGCTGTACATATGGCAGGCAAATGTTTTGTTAGGTTGTAGGACCAGGATATGAAGAACAGTGTTACCTGTGGAGGAAGCAGTACAAAGAAAATATGTGAAATAGCCCAGCCTTACAGAAGGAAAGTAATTATTGCTTAACAACACTAATAAGCTGCTACTTGACTGATGCTGTTAACAATGACTTCATCCAACAGTTGTTTGTAATGAGAGAAAAATATACATTTTCACAAATGATAGGAACCTGAAGTATCCAGCTTTGCTGTACGCAATTTGCTGGGCCCCATCACACATACCTAAATAATCCTGAGCTCTAATGTCAGCTCCATTTTCAATGAGCAACCTTACAATCTCCTCATTTCCCACACAGGCAGCAAATGATAAAACGTGCTCTCCTGCAAAGAAAGGGACAGGGGAAAAACAACATTAATGACCCAAGATTCATGAGAAGTTGGATCACTTAGTGGGAAAGCTCTCCATACTAGGAAGGAAAGGAAGAGTTACTCCAGGTAACCTGTAAAACTCCTGCCTCCACTGCTAGTCCTGCTTAGAAAGGAGGAAAATAACAAACCTATAACAACAGGAAAGACAAGGTGTCCTTATCAGGAGAATATCTTAGTAATGGATGACAAATGAGTTGCAGTATGCAGTAAATATTACAATTTTTATACAATATATAACTTCTGTATGCACACAAATATAAAAAACATGTTAGATTCTTATGTATTTATATGTAATTGTACCTACATGCTTAGGTGGAGCAATATGGCCTGCTAAAAGGTGTGTGACTGAGGACCCTGGAGACGGGAGCCTCTGCTCATCAATTAGGTGGAGACAAAAACAATTCTCTTTCATTTTTCATCACTTCAATGATTCCCTCACATAGCAGCAAGAAGATAAAATAAGGCTGTACCGAAATAGAGGAGGTTCTGGGAGCTGCGCCTGAAGAATTGCCCAGTGGCTCGTGCCATGCAGGCATTGGCCCCTCTTTTGAGTAAAGCCTTCACGAGAGCAATGTTCTGGTTCACTGCTGCAATGTGGAGAGCTGTCTGCCCTGTAAGCACACAAACAAAATAAGGTACCTGGGCATTGAGATTTGGCTTTGATGTTATCCCTGCTTTGAGCAGAGTTCCAGACGTTCATTTCTACTTCAATCTTTTTGCAAATCTGTTAAAAGGGATTTTACAATCTGCCAACAAAACCAACAGGATGACGTGTTCCATTAAGAACTTAATGGGATGTGAAGATAAGATCAAGACATGGCCAAAGCAGGCCTGGAATATTGGAGTATTGGAATTTTTTTAAACCCATGGAGTATTGGAGTATTGGAATTCTTTTAAACCCATAATTAATATTTTAGTGGTTTCAACAATCTATCTAGTATTGCTGTGTAACAGACAATAGGCAATAATATTGCTGTATAATTCTGTTTCTTATAAACAGAAAAAGGAAACATCTTCTCTTCAGAAGAAAGAAAAAGAAATATGGACACATCTGTTTTTAATCTCCAGTCTTTGTACACCAAAGAACCGAATTTTCATTTCTAAGAGGAAATCAGATAGGTAGCTGTCACAAAAGACTAGACTAGATGTGCCTACAGCTGAAGCTAAAACACTGTAGATATCCTCACCATTCCTCTATACCCAAAAGACCAGCAGGGATTAGGGTTTGTGAGTTACTCATTTGCACATTTCTTGCATATCATGTGTTTGATTGATGATTTGATTTAAATACAATCCCACCTTTCCACAAAGGGTCAGGAGCCACTTACATGTTGTTTTGCAATGCAGCTGTTGGTTTAGCAATATATTGAACAAGGAACAGTATAAACCATTTTCCTGAATTTGAGGCAATGTCCTACACATTTCCTAAGTGTGTAGGCAATGCTTTTTCCCTCCTCCTGCAGAGAACCCTAACTGATGTCATCCTTTCATTGACGAGCTCTGGAGCAGCCTCCATCAAAGCCACTGCAGCCTCCACATTATCATACAAGGCAGCTACATGAAGAGCTGTCTCCCCCACTGCACCTAGAGAGTAAGAGAAGCATGTGAGTCATCTAGACATTCAGCTACATGGGACAAAAGCAGATATGGATTTATCGACGTGGAGAATTATGGAAGTGCTAAGTTCTCCCTTGAGCATTGTAGGGTACTGCCTCATTATATGACATGCTAGCAGCATAGCCTTGTCCTTCATCCTCTCAAAACCTGGAAGCTGAACAGAGACTTCAGGTGTTTGTGAAAAGAAGGATGTTTTTTAAATGACAGGACACCCTGCCAGGCACACCTTAGCCATCTCCTTCAGGAAATGTCTTCACTCAATCCTTCTAGAAAAGAGGCTTGGTCAAGCTGTAAACCAACCATATCATCTCTGATCTTCACAACTCACTTAGCAGTTGACCACGTCTCTGAGCTAGAAATCTCACTTTGTTGCAAAATGGAGACTATTACATTTTTCTTCAATCCGTTTTAGAAACTTGTCTCAGCTGCCGACATATAGTTAGGTAATTTGATACTGCTAATGTAAATGTTGTGGCACAAACAATGCTACTCTGACTTTGCAGGAGGTTCTTCTCTTCCCTCAAAAGTAATTTGTAACAAAAAAAATCATCAAGTAACCTCTTTGATAGATATCACATGTTCCATCAGTGAGAAGTTTTGTAATAGCTTGGAGGTTGTTCTCCTTGGCAGCCTGGAGTAGTGGGGATTCCCAGATCCTACAATAAAAGAAATAGTGTCTGTTAAAGAACACAAGTCAATCACAAGATGCCTCTCTGCAGAACTAGAATGAACAGTACTCAAGCCAGTAAGGATCTTCAGAAAGGATTTTCCCCTGAAAGGTAGGCAATACATACCTACTACTTGGGGGTAATGCATACCTAATATTTTTAGGCTTAAAAAAAAAAAAAAATCGTTCAATCGCTCTTGCCTTACCGGCACATAACCATGTGGTGGCAGCAGAGGGAAAGAAAGCAAAAAGGAATAACCAAATTGATTCTTGTTCACACAGCCCGCAGTTTGAGGCATGGAAGATAACAAACGACCAGTCATTTGAGATTTCTTTTGCCAGAAGACTAGTTATCTCATGAGCAAAAAAAAAAAAAAAAAAAAAAAAGTAGGCTTTTATGGAACACAATAAAAAACGATTGCCATTTGAATTACTCACAGAATGGATAGAACAGAAAAAAAAATACAAACAAGCATTCACCCTGTATCTCAACATAATGTCCTATGGTATAATTAAGAAATGAGATGTGAAATGTAATGATGCTGATAGAACTGAGGAAGTTGATGTGAACTGAAAAACATGCCATTCTGGGAAAAAGCATGCCAAACACAAATACTAGACCAGTGAAACATTTATAGGTAAAGAAAGCCTTTGAATCCTCCACCAGACTTTTGCTTATTTCAGTAGATCCTTCAGAGTCAAATAAGAATTTACCAGTACTTCACTACAGCAAAGTTTTTTAATGTGGACAATATCCTGGACAAGTGCAAAGCTGATCACAGGAGTGGAAAATCTACTCTTGTAATTTAGTGTGGTCCTTGCAATATTGGATGCTTCTAAATTTCCTGTTCAGACATGAAAATATCCGTAAGTTACTAGCCTTCAATCCTTGATGTAAAAATGGCAGAACATCAATCTTATAAATTGAAAAGCCCACTGGCCAGTCCAAAATAAATTTTTAAAATCTAAATATTTTAGGATTTTTTTTCTAAGTGCCTGTTTAACCAGTTTTGAATGGTGTCAGCAAGGCTCCCTTCACCCAGCTATGTTCCTGTAAAAGCTGATCACCTGTGCACCAAGTACAGTCAATATATCTGATCCAGTCAGTGATGGATAGGATAGGTATTTCCTGAAGGCTGAGCAATGTGAGCCCTCAGCCATGCTTGCCTCACATGCAGAGTAACAACTTTTATTTGCACTCTCTTTTACATTCCACCACTTATGTCATGACCTCTGCTCTCTATCTGTCCATGCTAGTCTAGGGTAGCAGGCTGAGATGGACTGATGGTCTCAGATTTTGCAACAATATCTAATTAAACAAAGGCACACATACAACAAAAAACAACAACAATAAAACAGGTTCACATAGTTTATCTGAAAGCTAAGGAGCTGTTCAGTCTCTTTTCAAAAGATACATAGGACTGGGGCAACTGGTTTTCTTCCTCAGAAGAAACTCATTAACCTAGACCTGAGAACTCATTAACCTAGACCAGGCTTAGACTTTCAAAATATAAAGAATAAGCTGCCCCTATAGGCCATGAGGAAAATTTTACTAACTTTGCATCTAGCCTTTCATCTGGCCATGTCACCCCAAAATATGGGGATGAGAAACAGAAAGCTTTCTGGCCTTGACATTCTTGTAGAAAGGGATCAAGGACTGTCAACATGAGTACAGCTTTATATATTGGTTTTGGTCTTTTCTGTGGTGCAAGGAAGAGTTAATTTTGTGAGAGATGAACCTGCTTCAGTTTGGGGGGAAAAAAGGATCCAGTTTTCCAGGATAATTAAGAAAACCTTGAGACCAAACAGATACTGTTTTCTGGATAATGAATGAGAGAGGCATTTTCAGAGGAAAAAAGTGTTCTTATATGGAGAACCTGAACAACTGATCCCTTCTCATAAATGAGCCAAACTATCATACAAAATATTTTATAGATAAGATCTTATTTAATGATTTATTGTTATTACTTCCTGAATGAAACAAAATATTTATTTTGAATCCAATTTTTACTGTGCTAGTTACCCTGCACACCTGCTTGATCATTGAGCATTCAAACACACTTTGCTAATGGCCAAAATTGGGGCATCCCAAAATCACAGAAAGATGGACTAATTATTACTATATTACAAGTTACAATATTATTACTTTTCTTATTTTACCATATTTTCAGAGGAATCTTTTCATTTTAAAAAAATGGGTTTTTTTGAGTGGATTTTCTGTTTGTTGTTTTCTTACAAATAAAAATGTCTAAGTAGCTCAAGTTCAAAAGTTAAAGCTTTAAGGGAAAAAATCCCCCCCAAAATGTAGGAAATAGTCTACATCTGGGTTTTCAGGATGAAATAGCAAGAGGATCATCATTCCAAATGAGGTAGATTCAGCTTTAGTTTGGAGGCAAATTTTTTACCTCTACTTTCTGAGAGTTTAGATTTGTAATTATTATTAAACACCTAACACAACTCAGGTCAAGCTGTAATGTGTGAAATGGACTAAGTCTAAGGAAAACAGTAGAACAATGATAAAGGTGCTATGAACAAAGAGAACATCAGTCTTGTTTTCTCTACCTGAAAAGGATACTTTCCTTTCACCAAAGTTGAACAACTGCTAGTGTCAGGTTACACAAAAAAAGCACACAGGACATTTACATTCGTCAAAACTATAAACTTGGAGTCAATGATTGTTTCTTGTGTTGTCATAGATTTATTCCTTATATTATAGTAGTATTTAGTTGCAAAATTTTAGGAATACAGCTTTTTCTTGTCTTAAATTATTATTTTATTAGCAACACTTTACAAACATGAAGAAAATAAGTTATTTTATGCAGAATTGTCTTTGGATTTAATCCACTGAAATATGTGCAAGTTCTGAACAGCTTTATAGGAGCAGGATATTGAATCTGGGTCATAAAGCAAAACAAAGAGAAATTAGAAGTATACAGATGAATAGAAATCAGTTGATCAAATGCAAAGTGAAAGGCACAGGCATTTTATTTAATATAATAAAAGTATAACTGAAGGGAATATTTATCATTTCACGAAAGGAACACTTAGTGTCACCAAGAGCACCCCATTTTCCAAGTGACTAGAAACTAGACAAGAAAAATGGTAAAGAACAGAATATACCTACAAAAATTCAGAATGTAAAGAACACCATCCTGATCAAATCAGGGAATCATTCTGTCATATTTTGTCTGTGTCCTTCAGACTCATCAGGCTCTTGACCTTCTTCTTTACCTTACCTATGTTCATTGCTTTCATCAATACTTACAAGCTGACTGGATGAGAACACTGCTACTAGGATCAGACAGATTGGGAGAAAATAGAGAGGCATTTGGAGCAAAAATGTAAGATTCAATATAAACGAAGAAAGTTTATCATTTCTGTCTCTGTTTTGGCTGAGGAAGATTGTGTTTTTGGATAATATTTCTGGAGAGGCAGGAAGTGGGAAGGAGGTTGGGTTTGAATAGTATAAACAATACAACAATTGTTATGTTGATGCTTTACTGGGTATGTCTTTATCCCACAGATGACCTCAAGGAGGAGGAAGGATTAGGCAAGAGACAACGTAGGAGGACACAAACACAATACCTTTCTCACAAAATTCTCCAAAGCCCTTGTAAACAACTAATTAAATTATAAGCATCTTAAGAGGTAGGCACCTAATATCTATTACACTCAACTTCCAGAAATTTAGGCCCAAATTTTCAAACCTGTCTACTCAGTGCATTGTTCTCCAACTGAGCTCACAGATTCAGAGAGGCCAGGACAAACAACAAGCTGGTAAATAACCCAGAAATGTTGATAAATGTCACAGCATAAAGGCTCCAATGCCTCAGAAATTCATGTCTTACATATTTATATGCAATCATATATGTTTTTACCATCTCTTATTTTTATGGCTCCTAATTGGGAAAACATTCTACTCTTATTTAAAATATATCATTAGAATTACCAAAAAATTAATACATTATTGCAATGTGATGAGTATGTAAGTATTAAGTACTGGATGTACCTTCACTAATGTCACCTTCACAAAAATCCAAATTACATTACCTGAATCTTGAATCTTCACACTGGATTACAATTTGAAATATTTAAAAGCTCTGGATATTTAATCAATTTTCTTCTTTACCCATCAAACACAGCATGAATTCTACATGTTACAACTCTAGTTCCTGTGTGTCAAAACAGCCACAACATAAAAACTATAACTTTAGATTCTTACAAAAACTTTCTGCATTTCATGCCTAGTTTCCATAAACTACCTTTAGTCACTGGATGAAGAGAGAAGATTTTAGAGAATGATTCAGTACAGGGACCTACTTAGGCACTTGGAGAAAACAATTCAGAACAGCTAAACTGTCTTCTATATCATTTCCTGCATCAACTATGTAATCAAGGCACAATAAGCTCATAATGTATCCACCTAAGTTGTGTGTGTAGCAATCAGTGCAGTACTGGTATCTTTTATAGGATGAGTTTAAGGTAAACACAGTTATATAGAAAAATAGTACTTCTGATGGGCAACAAGAAACGTGATAGTATCCACATGGAACTATGTCTAAGTTCTCCTACTGAGTTAGGTATGCTAGTTAGCTGTCTTGAAGCTCTCAGTGATTCTGGAACCTGTATTACTATCATCCAGTTTACTTAATAGATGACTCAATGATAGGCTCAGGAAGTTGTGATTTGTTTTTCAGTAGAGATGAGCACAAGTCAGCAACACCTGAAAATCCATTGTGAAACAAAGAGATAGAATGTAGGTCAGGTTCTGACTGAGGGAGTAATGTGAAATAACTTTAAAGATAAGGGATTTCATAAGCACCCTCTGCCGGTGATACATATTTTTCTGCATTTACAGCTTCTTAGGCACTTCTTAACTCCATAAGGCTCCATAAGACTTAGTTATGAAAGTAGGAATTTGCATTTATAGGGGTATTTTTAATGAAGCAACTATGCCAAATATGTGAACTTTTTAGACACCTAACAATCTGAAGACTTTTCTTCTCTTCTCTCTGCTCATCTGAGATGAAAAGGAACATTTCTTACTCCTCCTGCCTTCCCTTCTACTGCTTGAGTCATTCCCTAGCTTGAATATTCCTACTACCAGTAGGAATAACCTGACATCTGTTGGAATCATTCCCTATCTTCATGGCAATGTCCATTACAGAAGACCTAAGGCAATTCTTTCAAAGTGGCATATAAATTAAGCAGCAGCATTTTATTTTATTTCTTTTTCTATTGCAGTACTCAGAATATTAATTCCTCAGCACTTCTTGTGAAATCATCAAAGGAATTTCAATTCTCCCTTTCTTGTGCCAGTCTGCTCGTGTTTGCAAACCTTCAGGAGAGCAGGAGAGTGCTCAGAGAAAGCTAAAGAGCCAGGAGGAGGAGCAATGCCAAAGAATGTGCTATGAACGAAGAGTACAATGTGAAAAGGAGACAGATTAGGATAACAGGAGCTTGGAGAAGGAGCAATGTCAACAAATTTCTTCAGCACCAACAGCAAGAACCAATAACTTAACTAAGAACTCTTCTGAACCTGTGTGAAAGGCAACACTAAACAGAGCTTCTCCTATGATGATGGGCTTTATTGGTTCTTTCCACCAGGAAAAAAGATCCAGGCTATACACCTGCTGTTGTAGGATACTAAAAACACTAAATTTTAGCAGCCATCTGATATTTCTGTAGTCTTAATTTTCATAGTTAAACAGTGCTCACCTACCTTATGTATCTCTAGAGAATATATATGAACACCAAATGCAGAAATAAATTGAAAATAAATAAAATTACTTTGTGTAGTCAGGTAGACAAGCAACTGCGATTTTTATCACCTTTGATGTTTTAACCATCCATCACACTGAGTAGCAGAAAGCTTGCTCATTCACCTCCATTAAGGCAGTCTTCTAGCAAGATCACATAAAAATCTGCATCTGACAGCACCACAGAAATAATCTCATGCTAATACTGCATCGACTGTTTATTTTTCCTGTATTGGTTATTTAATTATTCAATGAGTTTTTTATAAAACTAATTTGTCCTCACGACAAATAAACTCACCCTAGGACAAAAAATCCAGCCCTTGTCAATAGGGCTCTTCATGCAGATTCATGCTAGGTTGTCTTCTGCATCTAATTGGTTTCTTCTAATAATTCTTTTTTGTTTGTTTTTCTTTTTCTTTTTTCAGAGAATAAGTTCTATGTTTAATTCTTCATGAGAAAAATTATAACCAAGCTTAAGAAAGCAAATGGCTTAGTAAACCTACAGACCGAAATCACATCTTAGGCAACAGAGCTATATGTGTGCGTGTTTTTGTGTTGTGGTGTTGTGGGAAAAAATGTGAGTTTTGGATAAGTCTCACATCTGAAATTAAGTTTTGTTGTTGTTGTTGTTTTGTTTTGTTTTTTAATATTAGGCTTAAAACATTTTTCAGTTAGGGCCTACCAGCATAAGAAAAAAAAGACCAGAAATGTTATTAGTAATACCTTTGACTTTCTCATGCATTCAGCCACAATTTCCGACAGGCTGATCTTTGCAACTTGACTACTGAGAAACATTGTTACTGATACATATTCGAAATGATAGAGCTGGCATCTTTGTGTCGCTTTCATCTTCGAGAGCAAAAGAACCAATTTATGTTGGTTCCCTGTTACATTGGTTGGTCTAGAAGCTCAAAGTTCCTCATGTCGATAACTCATAAGCAGTTCAGTGCAATAGGATTAGACTGAGTTATTTTGGTTGCATCATGTTTGTTTTTATGGTCAGAAAAGTCCTATGAATACAAGAAAGACTAATCCTGTCTGTGAGACCAAAGAACCACACAAAACCCCAAGAGAATAACAGCAGTGATGTTGAAGGATGTTGAAGAGGGATACAAAGTTTTTGTTAACACACGTTTGCAAAGAGCTGCAAATTATGCAAATTGTTCCAACCATCTCTAATGGATAATTTCTGGGAGAAAAGATTTCTGTATTTCTATAATTAATTAATATGTGCAAAAGGGCTTTGATATTTCTGTTGAAATATACAAGTTAAATTATTGTTAATAAATAATTAATTCTCACGACATCCCAGGAAAATCAAGTGATGCCACAAATTTCTAAGCAATAACAAACAAAATATTCACAGGCCCATAGCACAAGACATATAAAGAAAGAATGAGGATGCTGGGTTCAGTCTGCTGAAGAGGAGGTTTGGGGCAATCAAATAGCAGCCTGAAACCAGGTGAAGGGGATTGACAAAGAAGAAAGGGCCAAACACTTGCTAATAGTAGACAATAAAAAAGGGGCAATAGCAGAAAATGGTGTCTTGGGAGGTTCACTCTGGAAGTAGGAAAAAATACATCTTTTTCACCACGAGGTTACTACAGCACTGGAAAACACACTCAGAGAGGTGGTGGCATCTGTGTTTTTGGAGGCTTTCAAGAGCCAAGCAAATAAAGCCAAGCGATCTCTCTCTCTCTCTCCCTCCTCTCTCTTTCTCTCGCTCTCTCCCCCCTCCTCCTCTCCCAAAGTAAGGGCAAGCTTCAGAGAGCAAAATTCCCCAATAAACCATCATTTCAGCCATAGCTCAATAGAGCATAAATAAGTCACGTTCACTCTTAATGATGAAAGTACCTTAATTCATTAGCTTTACAAATCAAAGCCAGAAAGACAGAGCATACATTTAGAATTTGTGATGGAAATGCTATACTCAGTGTGATTCAATTGAGACCTATTAAGCCCAGCTATTGAAGAAAATAAGACTGGAACTCAAAACATTCCAACTTGAAAAAGAAAATCTTAGAAAGAAAAGTGCACTCAAGGTGTTTAAAGCTTATCTGCAGGCAGGAAAGCCTGAAGAAAAAGAGAGAGAAGCAGCAGGAAGAAAGAGAAAGACAAGAAACCTGAAGTGCACTGTACCTTTTCTGCTGGAGGAGGTAGATTTCGTCCAGATGTTTATTGCAGGATTTTTTGCCTTGCAACATCTGACTCAGTCCATTCCAGATCCGGAAATAGAAGGACTTTCTATCCCCAAATAAAGGCACCCCCATTGCAAGTCCCTTTTTCTGTCTTGCCCAGCTGCTGAAAAGCCAGCAATCCTCACTTTGACAAAAATCAGGAAAGGCTCACTACAAGGCAGCACTGCTCTTCTTTCACAGGAGACTGTCCTTCAGATGCATCAGCTGATCAAAGTACACGTAAAAACACAAAATAAAATCATTTCTGCCTAGCAGACCATACTTCTAGCCTCATCAACAGATACTTAGTTTCCAAAATAGCCCAACCCAAAGGTGTGTCTGATTTAGAAATAGTTCACCAACAACCTTCCCCTCACAAAGACCCTATAGAGCACTGAGGATGTCTGTACAGAACTAATATCCTAGGCTTCTAGTATTTCTGTTCTGTTTCGAAAGTATAAAATTTAAAAGTAATCTTCCCTCTCTCTGAAACGCCACGCATAAGCACTATAAAGCTTGCAACAGGCAGATGAACAAGCCAAGTGAAACACCTTTTACCTAAATGAACCTGTGGGAACGTGCCCTAAAAGACACTGTGCTCTGGGAAGGCGGTAGAGAGGAGGACACACCTCCTGTCCCAACTCTCTGCAAATCCTATTAAAGACACAGTCGTTTGAGTCCCCACCTTCTCTGCTCCACACAAACAAAATGCATTCACTTTAGAAGCGAAGGAAAAATTACATATTTTGAAATTTGAAAAGATGCATATTTTGAACTTTTCCTTTACTTCCTGCATCCTCTTAATGTTTCTTCATATTACTACTTCAGAAAAGCATGTTTAGGAAAGGAATTTTTTTTATAGTATTTATTTAACTAAAGTTTTTTTTTTTTTTTTGGTATTTAAAAAAATGCATCAGCCAGCTCCTGGGGGTGCCTCTGACGAAGCAGAAAATATTTCAAAACAGACATTTTGCAGACATAGAAGAAAATTTGGGAGGAAGGAAACTGCCTAGTCTAGTATTTTTTTTTTTCTCTGAAATAACTGTCCTAATATTCTTGTAGGTTGAATCAGCAGAAATTTTCCCTCATCCTTAATAGTGCTGTAGTGGAACAAGGTTTTGCTTGAGTTCAGGATGACTGGAGCTAGGAGGAATCAGTAGGTAAGAGAAGAAAATATGCAAAACAGTAAGATAGCCATAAAACAGAGTTATCCCTTAAGCTCTTCAGGTTTATTTAGAGGCTATGCAGACTTGTCAAATCAAGATTCATGTCTAAACTTCTGCAAACTCCTGGAGTACCCTATGCTTTTCATTGCATCTGAGTCCTACTGTGACTATAGGTCCTAGCCTTGTGTTGTGAGGACTACCTGGTGTTATTTTACCTCTACTTGCTTCTTGTTCCAGATTCCTACTGTTAGTAGGGTCCTTGGCCTGGATGTGAGTCACGTGTTTTTCTGGTACATGTCTTGACTTCTCTTGTTTCTGTCTTTAGCTCATTCTAACTGCAAAATTTGGCTTCATTTCTTGATTCCAGTTTGGCCCTATCAAAAAAATATGACAGCTGATGTCAAAACATCTTACATACATACACTTTCTCACCTACATCCATATGCCATTGGTGACGAAGTAAGGATGATGATTACTAAAAGCAACATGGCCAAATGCGTTCCTCATGCTACCCTTTACCTAACAATGGTAAGGAATGAGGACCAGAGTAGCAATGTTATGATGGTACTGATTCTGCCCAATTCAGTTGCCATTTGGTTCTAGGGAATGCATGAACATTTCATACAGCACAGTCAGTATATGCTGCCCTTTGTGAAGCTAAGGAGACTGCAAGAGCGAAACAATAAGTGGAGAAAAAGAGGGAAAAAATACTACTACTGTTACCAAGGAGTGCCCATTTACACATATCTGCTACAAATAAAGTGTAATCAGGAAGCAACTTTGGCCCCTGGAAAGTTCCATACTGCTAGAGACACAACCTTCTGTATATCACATTGTATTTTTTTTTTCAGATCAGAATACATTTTCAAACCAATAGTCTAAATTTGAATGGCCTAAACATGAATGAACTGACTTAGAGTGACCTTGAAGCTCCATTTAGCTCTATCAGTATACCTGAAAAGAGAAAAAATTATATACAAAAATTACAGGAAAAAACTGCAGGAAAAAAAAATATTGTCAATATTTTCTTTTCTGTCCTGCTCAGTTCTTCTGTTCATTCCTTCTTTCAAATATAAATCAAAAAGATTATTAGCTGTGCTGTTTTAAAAGTAATTTAAATGTTAATGTAGAAACAGGCATGATTTGCACAATACGTGGCATAGATTCCTTTCCTTCTGAATGGCCCTGACCCTTGCATTCCATATACTCACAAAACTCCTGTTAGTCTTCCTGGAAATTTTGAGTGGCTAATATATGTAGGATTGAATCCAATGTGTTTATCTGGTGAAAACTGCAAAAGCCGGGTGGTGTTTCAAAGGTACTCTGAGGAAATAAGTGAAACCCTCATCTTTCACAAAATCCACAACAATGTGAAACATTGGTAACCAGGAAGTAGAGATGATAAAAGACATTGCAAAAGTGAGGAAGGTTGTTGAAAACTAAACATGGTAAAAGTTCCTCATTTATATCTCCTGAAAAGATTTAATGGATTTCTATTTAGGACAGAAAGGTGGGTAATGAATGGTATCATCAAGATTTATACAAAGTGACTTCTGAGGGGAAAGTGAAGTCAACCTATTTATTATTTATGGTGACTTTAAATCCACTGCCACATTTGTCTTACAATTTTGTTCCCAGATCTAAGTTAAGCAACTGGTAGACATTTAAACTAGCATGCTGTAATTAGAGATCTAACACATCTTCAACATAATGTATAACTATCAACTAACAAGGACCAAAAATGTGTGTATCAGACATAAGCATCATGTTATACCTTTTGCTTGGACAAATTTCAGCACAGAAATTTGCCTGTTTTCCTGTCTGAGGAACAACATCAGAGCCAAAAGCTTCCAGGTTATTTCAGAAGTTATTATCCTTACACGGAATCAGTCTCTTGTTCCATATTTTTTTTTCTGAATATATGCATTCAAACCCTAAAAATAAAATCATATTTTCTATTTTTTGCTGCAAGTCACAAAGATTTTTTTCCTTATCCCTCATAAGTTTTCTCCTCACTAAATCATCACTTCAGATAAGAGAAATTCTGTCAGTCCAACAAAGCAAAACACAAATGAAAACCAAAGCACACAGGCACAGATCTGTATACCCAAGCTTAGGCTACCATCTTTAGAGCATGAGTGGAAATGCAGCCTACAAACAGACTTCTATCAGTCTTTCAACAGTTTCCCTGCATGTTCCCCGTTGCAGTGCAGTTCTTTTCCTGGAAGAGTGACATCAGAGAAAAGAATAAGAGAATAAGCAGAACATTAAAAAAGCAATAAAAAATAATAGTTCCTGAGTTTCTGAGAACAAACAGAAAACAGGAGAGGAAGCTCAGAACTCATGACGTCGGCTTACGATTTTCTTGTTGCTAGGACACATACCTTCATCAAGTAATAGTATGATTTCTCCATGTATACATGGATAATCTTCCATCTGAGAATGTAATGGTGAGTAGCCAATGACCAGCATGTAATATCTGTAACATGCCATGTTACAGATAAGTTAGGGAATCTTACTGGACCATGGTATTTCCAGTCAGTCAAGTTGCAGCATCATATTTGTGTAGCAGTGCAAAACAAGGCTGAGGATGAGGGTATGCGAATTACGTAAAGTTTCACATCATGCTGATATGTATCTATGAAAAAATATATTATATATATCTATACAAAGAAAAACATGTAAAGTAATACAGGAAAACAACAAGCCATTCCCAGAGAAGCATACTAATAACATTATCTCCACCAGTTTTTAGAAATTCTTATCTTCTCAAGAGCTCATCTACTATGTAAAATAGAATGATTTAACCACTAGAAAATCACAGATAACACAGAAGCAGAAGTGACTTAACAGTGCATTATAAACTGTATTAGAGCATAGGGGTCATCAAGGATCTCCTGTTTATTGCATGACTATCTCTGATGTGTAATTCTGGGAAACAGTCTCATGACCTGAAAGACAGAAGAAGCTTGGAGGTAAGCTTTGTTTCAGTTCAAATAAGTGTCTCTGCACTTCTTGATTTGACGTAGCAGAAAGCAAGGTCAAGGTCTACTTGTGGTACAGAGTGCCAGCAGAGTTACAAACTCCTTTGAAAAATGTGCTTCAAAGACCTTGATGAAATGGATGAGGGATCAGTAGTAGTTTCACCAGCTGTTATATTAAGTTTTGGTGCAAGAGAAAGAAGATCCCAAGACTTTAGAAGACTGCCCCATCAACCTATGCAGCAGACTTTGGCACAGGTATAATGGTAGCATTTCCAGAAAAAAGACAAAGGAGATATCAGCAAGAACTGAAAGATCTGTAAAGTGTGGGTATAGAGGTTTTTCTAGAATTAAATTGAGGAATTTTCTTAGAGATGGACCAGTGCTAACCCATAAGTAACCTTGAGTGAATGAATCAGTAGGATTCTCATTGAGGTAACTCAGACAAATGGTCTGAATGTTTTCTTACCTTTGTGCTTTGTGTTATTGGCTTAAGTTGGAAAGCTTTCTGTTGGTGAGCTAGGAAGCTTACTGTTGACAATCTAGACTGGAGATCAATCACCCAACCTCATACCCTGGGATAGCATCTCCAGGACTCACATGCGCAAAAGCAGCAGCTTATTCCATTGGAAAAAGTGAAAGAAGTGAACATGAAGCAGATTTCCTAGTCTTGCACGAAGGAACCCAGGAGTGGATCTTAACATCAAAGAGGGAGTATACTAGTGGCAGAGGACTTGAAACATTACCTGAACTGCTAGTTTATAGCAGAAAAAAAATGAGAGAGTAGAAATCGAAGTCGTAAGAAGATGACATCAAGCTGTGAGACCCTTTTCATCTGGATTTCCTCAGAGAAGGGCTGGGATTTTGACATCCCCAAGTGAGGAATCTCTAAACCAAACTGTAACATAGTGGAAAAAGACAATAACACAGAAGAACACCTCACTAG